AACTCACCATCAGAACGTTTTCAGTTTCTTACCTGGATTCAGGAGCAGAGTCCTTGTCAGAAGAGCCGGAGCCGTCGGCCTCCTGTGGAGTGTGTGTGTGTGTGTGTGTGTGTGTGTGTGTGTGTGTGTGTCAGCATCTTTGGTATACACAGGGCTGAGGAGGATTTGTCAGTGTCTGTCACTGACTTATCAGTCTGTGACTGTGCGAGCGAAAGCGTATCTCTGTCTCTGCGTGAGCATCTGTGTGGCTGTGTCAGCGTCTCTGACAGGTGTGTAGGTTCCGGGCTGCAGTCCTGCTGACACTGAGATCTCGCTCTCCTTTCTCCGGTCGGCACACCAGGCCCTCGCCGCAGTCGCAGCGCTGGAACAGCTCCAGGCCGTGGTTGCCTTTCCTGCGGTGGCGCGTGCACACCTGGCCCTCTGTCAGCACAGGTTTACAGATGCGAGACCAGAAGTGTCTGGCACAGCACAGACCCTGGGCGCAGTCTGACGACCGCAGGCATGTGTCACCTTCTTGGCCTGGAGATGGTGAGACAAGGCACGTTACAAAAAAATAAAAAAAATAAAACACTGAATTTTTATTTGTTTATTGTTTTTGTCTGTAAAATAAGAATGGGACTCAGCAGGAATCTTACCTTTGACAGCATTAGGTGGGAAACTGTGAGCAGTGGGAGGTTTCTTGCCTGGATTCTCCATGGTGCTGTTGTTTTTGTTCCACTCTGTGATGGATCCATGTGAACCATGTATGTCAATTGCCTGACAAACACCTAAAAAGGGCAAATCAAGAAGAAGAAAGAAGAAGAAGAAGAAAAGCTTGAGGACTCTGGTTTTGGCACAATAGGAACCAAGTTTTACGCATATTGAAGTAACTGCATTTATAACTAATTGGTTTCTGTGCTCACCGTTGCTGCAGCGGTTTCCTGCACAACACATGGAGTCTCTCAAGCAGCGCCTTCGGCTCTTTCTGCACGACAGGCAGACACCGCGGGCATCATTGCAGAATTCATCTCCTCCACAGTCTTCATTCGTCTTGCAAGCACCTGACTGCTGTAGGATGTTAACAATAAGATCAACATGTCACTAAACACATCACCATGACAAATATCTAGATATTTAAAAATGACATGAGCGCGAATTTAAACGTGGCGCTCGGAAAGGACTTTTACGCACGGCGGAGTTAATTACCTGCAAGGTGCCCGTGGGGGGTTTGTGTCCCGCGCCCCCAGACGGTGGGGTGCCTGGACTTGGACTCACAGTCTCAGTGCCTTTGCCAGCCGAAACACCTGGTGGGTTTTTAATTGCGTTGGAATTCATCAGGACTGCGCTCGCGTAAAGATCTCCAAAGCATCCAAAAAGAGTGAGGTACGCAGCAAAGAAGCGGTGCGCAATCAGGATCTGCATGATTCTCCTCTTCAGTTTTCTTTTTTTTTCTTTCTTTCTTTTTTACAAACACAGGAGGAGGGAAACAATCCTTTCTGTTTTGTTTAAAATAAAGTCTAAGTGACGAAGTCCAAACGGCCTTAATTCCCGGATCCCAAAGTTGGCAGAAAGTTTCAGCGCGATGCTTGGATGTCTCCTGACTCCCGGTCCCGGGATGATCTCTTTATACATGTAGACCTGTTTGTCTTCCCGCCCCTCGCTGTGCACAACAAAGACAGAGGGGTGGAATTTCAAACAGAACCCCACTGCACGGAAACAGCCATCTCTGCACATTTCACAGTGTTTGTGGAATGATAATGACATGCAAAGCTCTGTGTGGATACCTGTCAGTGACGCGCACGGGACGCACAATAACTTGGGATCAACTCTAAAAGATAGCTTCAAGGCTTACCACTTCTGTCCTTCATTTTTTCTTTAAATAAAGTCATTTTATGGAAAACAAACATCTATAATTTGATAATCATCATGATAATATCAGAGCCGTAAAAAACGTTACTAATTAAAACAATTACTAGCAATTTGAGAAAAAAATAAGTGCATTATTTATTAAATCAACTTCCAAACTCCCTGTGCCAAAAATAAGACGTTGTGCAACACTGATGTTTGCAGAATTTGAGCCGCGTTTTTATTTATTTATTTATTTATTTATTTATTTATTTATTTATTTATTTATTTATTTATTTATTGATTGATTGGTCGAAGACCGGCCGGTCCATCTTCATCAGGACTGTTTCGAAGACTGAACTGTCCTTTGGCTCTTTGAGGACCATGCGATTGAAGTGACTCGATTAACCACTTCATTTGATCCTCCTGATTGCAAAGGTGCCAATTAGGCTATCCACCAAAGTTTGCTTGATTACATCAGCGGCGGACATCAGTGTAGTGGGATATGCAGACCATTAATGGGTGTGAATAGTTTACGGAATTAGGTTAGGCCAGGGTTGACTGGCACCCTGAGATAAAAGGTGACTCTGATAGCCTGAAAAACAGCGGCCTTTGGGCTCCAACGGGGAGTGTGAGGGGACAAGGATTCACCTGAACCAAGTCTGATCTAAAACTGTACATTACATTTACAGTCAAAAAGTCAAGACAGTATTATTTTATCGGATGGATGGATGGATGGATGGATGGATGGATGGATGGATGGATGGATGGATGGATGGATGGCACACACAAACCTGACTGTTTCTGGACGGATGGATGTCATCTGCTGGTTACATGAATATATATACACCCCCGCCCCCCCAACCCCCAATTTGTGTGTGTGTGTAAACATGCAAGACACTCTGTGGACACCTGACAGACACACTAGCACTTTGTGTGTCTGAATTGCTGCATATCTTTTGAAGCAGAGCTTTTATCTCCACCTTACTAAATGTCAGTACAGGTAAGGTGAACTCCTTTGATCCCCTTTGATCTCCCAGAAGTGTCACCCTGTTGTTATGACTGAAGCCCATTTCCCTGTCTCTCTGCCCCCCCACCTCCTCATCACATCCTCCCAAAAACAGATTTGTTGTGTGAACATGGAGACCATGAGATCATCTCCACTTACCTCTAAGTGGATGGCATTAAATCCGGCACTGATTATTAGATCTCAAAACATTCAAAACAGTTCACATAAGGCTGAGGAATTTTAGTTGAAGATTTTTTTTTCTTCTAACCAAGTGCTCCCTCTTGTGGCAACCATAAGAAACTGCAAAAAACATCTGCCACAACACAACCTCTTCCTGTAGAAGAACTAAGAGACAGACGCCACTCAAAAGTATTGTTTTTTTACTCTATAATTTTAAAAATCTTCCACTCTGCAAAATGAATGTACAGCAGAAAACAAACATAACACAAGGCAAATGTCTGGTAACTTTGCAGAAGGCAGTCAAGTACAACTCAAATTCAGTGGTTTGGAAAGTGATGACAAATGAGGCTTTGTGACAAACATAAAATGATAATAAAATACATAAAAGTTTCTGTACACACCTTTTTTTTTATCTTACCATCATTATTAATGTGAATGTGTGAGTATTCCTTCTCCAAACCCAACCAAAATGAGAATTTAAATCCTGATGCACTGAGATTTATGTTCTTGAACAATGGTTGATTCCAAAGCAAAAAAATATGGTAAAAAACTGCAAGTCATTCTCGCCATCTCTAGTGGTCCAGATATCATAGCTAAAACCGATGATTTATGGTCTTTCTGAGTCAGTGATGTATGATTACTGGTATACTGTATCAGGCCATAAGTGATTGACTTCTGAGGATCACAGAAGTTAAGAGAAAAGCATGTCATTGCAGCTATGTTAGGTGTGCCAGATTATTTTTTTTATTTAATAAAAGTTCCTTTAAAATCAGTCTGAGGCAAAACCAAAAATGGATTTCAGTTTTTTTTCTTTCAAATTGTTATAATATTTTTCCCCTAATAAATTTATTAGCTAGAACTTAAAATCAAAAGCTGTCATCAGGAGGACAAATATTTCTGAGGTGTGTATGTGCTCATGCAGCATTGCAAAGTCATGTTCGTTTTATATGCCATTGACTTAAGGCACTTAAAAATCTTTAAATTTGTATTTTCAGTCTTTTAAGTGTGAAAGATGAGGTGTTGGGTGATCGTATTAAAACCATACGTTTTAACAAAAATCATGTAGCTTTTCAGGTAATTTAGCAAAATTAAATTAAATTCATTTTTTTCTCAATGTATAATAGATTTAGTCAAATTTAGTTCCCAAAATGAGAAGGACAAAAAAAGTTAAAATGATAAACTTGTGATTATTTTTGAAACCACCCTAAAAATACCACTTATCACAACGTAACATGGTGTCAAGATCTTCACTTAAGTGGAAAAACTTACACAAGTTTCCAATTATGTTTTTCTTCTCTAAAGAATGACATCAAGAACATTACAAAGCAATCAAGCACAAAAAAAAATCACATTACAAAAACAAATAACCAGTACTGTCATTTCAACTTGTTCACCAACAGCACCAAAGACATTGGAACCATGTTCACAGTTATGTCAGAACTGTACAGGAGCAAACAGAGAACATCTGGTTTGGCTGAATAGTAAGAGGCATTTAACTGATGTAAAAACCAACATAAACGTTGAACTAATGCTTAAATAAGCTTCTACTGTGCATAATGACATTTGGCTTCACGGAAATTCTAACTGACTTGTTGTGAAGTTCGTTAAATTTTAAGCAGGGCACTTAAAGAGTCATGTCTCTTTCCACTGAACGCACAGTGTTTGTGCTTTTTAAGGTAGACAAATCTCACATAAAGTGTACTAAGAACTTGATTTGTTCCCATCTGGGTTCATGTGTGTGTGTAGTCAAATACTATGTACCATACGTAGTGTATGCCTTATAGAGGTGTGCTAAGTAAGAAGAAAATCTTTGACATTCAGGTTAGTCTTGAGCACTTGCAAACTACATTGTGTACATATCTGGAAAGTATCATGGATCGTAGGAGGGAGCTGCATGTGAAAAGCCAGGCAGCAACTGCAAGAACATCCCACATCAACGTTCAGCAAACATTTCACCAAATACCATGGAGAAACAGTTACCTATCAGTCTTTGCTCTCTTTTTTTTAAGCAGAACATTTTCACTTTTATTATTTGTCCTAAAATCACAACTTAAACAAGTAATCAAACATTCATACATCCGTTAAACATGTTTCCCCCATGTATGTGGGGGGAAAACTGGCTCCGTTATCAGCCTCTGTAGTGTGTGTATGTCTGTGTATCCCTGCACTATCATTGCTTTTGCCTATAAACTCGTGTGTAAGACAACACTGAAGAAGTGCTACAGCAGTCCCATTAGAAAATGCTTTATCCAGAGCCACAGTGGGGAGGGGAAAAAAAGGCATTTCGGTGACCCGGAGGGTTTGCCATCCATTTGTTTATCATCTTTTCCATGTCGTATTTCTTAAATTTTTAATGCAGTTCCATTTTTTTATTCTTCTTGTTCCTGCAACCAATCATGTCCCGGAAATGGCCATCCCAAAGCCAAACAAAAGAAGAGTTTCTTTTGGTTTTAAGTGGAGACTTCAAAAGTCAACATCCCAGCCGGAGTTGTCGTCTGGAGGTGGGTCTTCGTTGTCCTCGGGGAAGCTGTCGAAATTACTCGTGTCAACTGGTGATGTGACCTTTTATAGAGAGAGAAAAAAACATTTTACTTAAAGAATAAACAATAACACTATCAAAAAGATTGCTTAAATACAACAGAGAACAAAAGACAAATAAGCAAATGAGGAAAAAAGTAATTGACACGAGACGTTGTCGGGATAGTGCACTCACATTAGGGATAATAGGAGGCGTCAGTGTCCCTTTCTTCAAACCCTCCCAATTAAAGCCTTCAAACCATCTGAAAGAAAAATGGAACTGATTGCAAAACACACAACACCAAAACAAGAAATTTAAAAGTAAAAACTTTTTTTTACTTGTGCTTTTGGATGTCTTTGACACCATTTTTCAAGTTTCCCAGTCTTTCACAAGGATTATCCCTTAAGAAGAAGAAATGAGAAATACAGTGTACAGATTACAGATTACATACATAAATATATGAGTTAAAAAGCTAGGGCCACTACTTACCTGCATAGCTTTTTGATTAGGTTGGCAGCATTTTTGGTAATTTTCTTTGGAAATTCAATCATGTCAATGCCTCTAAGAATGATGTTGTAGGTTTTCATTGGATCAGGACCAGAAAATGGAGGACTACATAAGAAAGGGCCAAGATAATAGCAGCAAGGTTCATTAGCACAGACCGTTTACCTTTGTTTTCAGAAAWTTTTTTTGAGTGTCACATGGTTGATGTATGTTAATATCAACATGTCCATGCTTATGTGTACCTGCCAGTTAACAGCTCAAACATGAGGATCCCCAGAGACCAATAGTCGGCCGAGATGTCGTGACCCTTGTTCAGAATGATCTCTGGTGCTACATACTCTGGTGTCCCACAGAAGGTCCAGGTTTTTTTCCCGAACCCGATCTTTTTAGCGAAGCCAAAGTCCACCTAATGGCAACAGAGATTTTGTACAAATGTACCAACAGCACAATCAGAACATACAGCGGGTAAAATAAGTATTGAACACGTCAACATTTTTCTCAGTAAATATATTACTAGAGGTGCTAATGACATGAAATTTCCACCAGATGTCGGTAACAACCCAAGTGATCCATACATACAAAGAAATCAACCATAAATGTCGAGAAATAAAGTTATTTGTAATAATGTGGAATGGCACAGGGAAAAAGTATTGAACACATGAAGAAAGGGAGGTGAAAAAGGCATGGAAAGCCAAGACACCAGCTGAACTCTCTCAGTAATTAGAAAGCAAGCCTGCCCCTTGTCAGTGCAAGTTAATATCAGCTGGTTCAGTCCCAGCAACCTTATTGTTGCAAAGCATAATGATGGCATCGGTTACAGAAGAATGTCTAAACTTCTGAAGGTTCCAGTG